TTTTACTATCTCTTAATCCCTCATTGGGGATACAAGCTGATTTTGGCTTTAATTGCCAGGCTTTAATTGCTGAGGAGCCTTGTTCATTTCTCTCTATGGCTCCTAGTCTCTCCAGCACTCAAAAAAGTCTTTATAAAAGTGAATGTTTTGCCATCATTCAGAGCTGTTGCAATGTTGAGAATTATACTGAACACACTCACTTAATTCCCAAATCCATTAGACTTTCATTGTGCCAAATTGTAGCTCTATGTAATCAAAAATTCCCCTGAGGATTGTATAAAATAAGAATCCAGTCTGATACTCTGTCTTAAACACATGAACTTTTATCTGAGGGTTTCAAAGCATTTTATAACTGAGGTTAAATGATCGTTGAAGGATACCCAACAAATCAGCAGATTAGGCCCAAAGTACCTAACTCTAACTTCCACTTTTTTTCAAAATACAAATTCTCTGGGATTTGTTATGTCAGCACTAGAGGAATTGTATGCTATTCTCATAGGTCAAAAATTCATTCTTATCCATTCTTATTGAAAGAATGACCACAAACAATCTAGCCACCTCCACCAAAAAGTAACAAAGAAAAATAATTTTTTTAGGAAAAAAAGATGACAGAATTAGTCTGAACCTACAATAGAACAAATACCATCTTGTCACATATGAGATTGACAAGAACATATCACAGTAGAAAAATACAGTCTTTACATGAAATCAGATCAACAGGCACCTACCACCTTTCATGCTAAGAGAGTTCCTGTGTTTGAATTCACTGACACTCATAGGTAGAGCTGTTTGGTGCTCTCAGTTTTGTATACAGCTGCCATGATACCTGCTTTGATTTGCAGCTAAAGGATTTAATTCTAAATTTCTATCAATAAAACTTAGAGCCTGACATTAAACATACAAAATTTCATCTTTTCTTATTTCTCATTTCTGAGAAAAATTCTCTACTTTACTCATTACATATAATTTCCCCCAAAATAATAACTTTTAACATGAATTATATTTCATCTTTGAAAATGCAATGTTGTCACTAATCTGGAAGAGTAACTCTTCCAGGTTTAGATGGTATTTTCAAAACTTATTCTCTAACAAAAAGTAGTATAGAGCCAGCTGGTTACAAAGATCTGGATCATCTGGTTAAATATGTATCCAAAAAAACAGATTGCAACTCTGAACATCTTGGATGGGGGGAGGAAAAGGCATTTTGGCCATCCCTGGAATTTTAGCTTTCAAATCAACCTATTCAAAAATAATCCATCTGGGGGATGGTCATGATGGAGACTCAGACTTTTGGGGGGAGGGTGGAAATGGGCATTTATTGAAACCTTAAAATCTGTACCCCCATAATATGCGGAAATTAAAAGAAAAATTAAACAAATAAAAATAAAAAAAAATAATCCAGTTCATGTTCTTAATAAAAATGTCAAGACAAAATTGCAACAATAGGCAAGACAACCCTAGAATAAAATGAATGCTTGCCATTTCTAAGCCCTGCAATTTTTTGAATTTTCCAATATTCTCACATTTAGTCAATAACCTTTGTCAATCAATAAAGAAAATAAAGAGTATATATTCAAATATAAATGGATTTTTGCTATCCAGATATTCCCCAGTAGATAGAAGGAAGATGTGCCCTGTATATGCATCTGGGATATAATTCTTATTGACAGGAAATATAGCAAAAGTCTTTCTCAGATAATTTTGAGGATTTGGTGCAAATTCCAATGAGAATGTGAAAAAATATGTTAGTCCTAATGTTATTAGCATCTACAATGTGTCACATTAAATTAGCAGTAGCTAATGTGTTTGGTTCCCAAAAGTTCTCAAATGTACATAAAAAATAATGGTTTAAAAGTATAACTGCAAATCTAAAATGAAAAAGCCAATAATAGAAAATATGATGATATCTTGACAAACTATTATAACCAGTTCTTATAAAGCTTACAAAGGCACCCAGGAATTCAAGAGAAATGTACAGATTTCAACTAGAATAACTCAAATCATTGAGCCTTTACAACAGAGCTACAGAGGCTACAATGAATTCATGAAACTAAAACTAAGTTTCCTATTGAAACACTTTTTCAATATTAGATATATAAGCAATGACAACAAAAATTTGTTAATATTTTTCATCCAAAAACAAATGTTCCATTTTGTATATGCATATCAATTAGCTTTTGCTAATTGTGTATCAAATTGCCCCAAAACTTGATGACTTAAAATAACAAACATTTTTATTTCTGTGAGTTGAGTAAGCAGATCTTCTGGTCCTCATGAACTTGCCTGGGACTGAATAATCTAATACAGCCTCACTCACATAGCTGAGGGTTGGCAGGCATGTTGGTCTGGAGAGATCTGAGCTGGGAAAGGTCAGATCTGCTCCATGCGGTTTCTCATGGCCTAGTAGGATATTCAGGGTTTCTTCATATAATGGTCTCAGGGCTCCAAAGAACAGCAAGATAGGGTACATTCCAATATGTAAGCACTCTTCAAGCTTCTGCCAGTGTCCAATCAACCAAAGTAAGTCATGTTGTGAAGCCCAGATTTAAGGGTAAAGGAAATGGATTCCATCATTGATATTTTTTTTCCCAACTAACCATATCTTCAACTTTGAGTTAAGGGTCAATAGCCTTGTTTAGGGTTTGAGATAAAGGGAAATTTTTCTTATTCCAAAGATAATGTCACTTCTCCACTTCTGAATTGATGCTGTAATCTCTCTTCCCATTTTATAGTCTTTATTACTTTTCCTTCAATTCCAATTTTTTCTAGAATATAGGGAAATGAAGAAAGTAGGCAGCCAACTGAGTAATAGGAAGTACCAAAATTAATGTGAGAGAAGACAGGACCATTATGTATTCCTTTATTTATATCTCAAGCCAAAACAAAAAATATCCAGAAATTTCTAATGTGCTTTATATCCCATGGACATGATGTAAGCATAGCTCTGGTCTTCAGATTAAAATGATACCAGTAGTTGAAATTAACAAGACAGAACAAATTTGAGATCTAGGGTGGGAAATTTATTTTTATCTCAAGTAATGGAAAAGTGGGTTTTCCTCAATATTGTAAAATATATAATACGTTATCCTTAGCATGGAAAACTATGGTAGTCCAATTTCTTTAAAATACTATTTAGAGGCCATAATTCAGGAGCTAATGCCAAATATAATTCAGCTTTCTCTGCTAACATTATTAAAGTAATGAAAACCCAGTTTTCAGAAAGAACATCTAATATAATGGTAGCCATTTTGTTTCACACAATCTGATCAAGAACACTTCATCATGTATAACTGACAAGAGAGAGTTTCATTACCATCTTAATGGCAATTAAATAACCACTGACATCACTCGTAGGAAATGTCTTTCATCACCATTTCAAATTTCTTGAAATAGCAGGAAACGTGATTTTGTTATTGTAGTGTTATGCAGTTAAGATGTGTAATGGTCCCATAAAAGTAAAAACAGAACATGAGATTTAATGACAATCACCATCACTTTTTTTCTTTAAGACAAAGTGAACTGTATACATTGATCAAACCTCCATCTAGACTTATAAAGCATCTTTTACTTGTCAGTGAAACCATTGTTACTCCATTATGAAATTGGTTATTCCAAGCTAATAATATAGGCAGTGAGCAGTGGGATTTAAAGTAATGTTATGCATGTGGAAGTAAAAATAACCCGAACATTTTTCCACTGGTATCTTAAGATACATTTCTTACTTTTTCCTTTAAACCCACTCCTAACCTTTTATTTGGTCAATACATAATAGAATCTTCATGAAATATTTTTACCTTAAAAATGCAAAATGCAAAATAACATATAATTTTGTGATATTTCATTTAACTCAATAATTGTTTCCATATTTTTTGGCTCTCTCTGGCCAGTGTCAAACTGTTTTGATTATTAGCTGATGAAAATGAGGACATTTTCCCCTATACACTGCTATTCAGCTTTCATTTAATGGCAGTTATTTCCTCTGATATCACCGCTTGCAAGTACTACTTAACCATTTAATTCATGAGCTTCAGATTTCTGACTTTACTGCAAAGTAATCCTATGTGGAAATCTATCTCTACTCCCAGAAGAAATTTTATCCATTGGCAGCTATAGTGTCCTTCAGAATTTAAAGAAAAAGAGACCACCATGATTGAAATAATTATGGTGCTCTCATTCTCTTGAAAATATAAGAATCCACAGATAAGGCAGTGAATGGTATATTGTAATTACTATTCTTAAACTATGTCAGAGTAATAATATTTTTGCCAGGCTTTAAAAAAAATTCCTTACCCAAACAATCAAGTAAGTTAAATACAACTAGAAGTATTTTATGCTTTTGTTCGCATATTTATCTATATTTGGTTTTGTTCCAAAAGTTTAGAGTAAGAAGCACAGAAAATTTTATGATACCTCAAGTAGACTTCAAACTCCTTAGTGAGGTTTAGCAGAGTTGGGAGTTTTTTCAAACTTCTACAAAAGCAAGATCCAAACTATAACGGACAAAGGATCATGATACAAGAAGGAAAATGGCCTAGAAGATACTTCAAATCTCATCTGGATCTAAACTTGACTCTCAAATGGCCTATGGCAGAACTACCTTTGTATGTGTCTACCCTTAGCAATTAACCTTCTACTCCCTATCCTCTTCTGTCACCTCAAGAGCTAACAGCATTTAAAGTCAATTTTAAATGAGGACTCAGAGGAAATTACTACAACAATCCCATCTTCTTAATTAAGTCTTCCTACTCACACTCACACTTGACTGAGAGTTGGGGCCACTGTAGCTCACTCTTAGAAAGCTCCATTCCTATTCTCCAAATCTGATTGCATAAAAACATGGCCGCCAGTTTATACCTGCACTGGGCTTAATCTGTAAGAGACCAGTTAGCATCTTAGCTGCTTCCAAAAGTGACCTCAGAGTTTTTGCCAGATCAGTATTCCTGTTTTTTTCCTCAATGCAGGCCTAGATTTCTAGAGTCAGTCCCACCACACACCTGAACTCCAGAGCATCTTCTGACAATAGCAATGCCCAGGGCCGGAGTAGTCAGCCAAGTCCATAGCAGTCAAAATTCTGCTGCTCACAAATCTGAACAGCTTGCAAGAAATCAGAAATATCAGGGCAAATTCTGCAGAGTATCCACCTCAGGAGTACATTCTATCAAGAGAAGCAAATGGAAGAGGTTGTTGGAAGGAAATTAAAGGTTCTTACTCTCACTCCAACACTAAAAACACCTACTCACACAGTTTCTAAGTGTCAAGGTATGGTGTCAGTTGGATGTATGCTGCATGTTTTAATTTCATTTTGAAATATGTACTGAATTAATTCCACTGTATCCTCTAACTATAGAGAAATATGATAAAATAGAACATAAAAAGATTTATCCCTTTCAACCTATCTTATTTCCAGTAAAAGGAAGAAATAAATATCATTACAGGGAAAAAATGATGAGAATGAAAAAAGAAAAACAAAATTTTATATGTAAAGAATAAAGAAGGCACTAAAACATTGAATGATCCCTAAAAAAGCCTTGTCTGAAAGTAAAATCCACCAAGTATGAAAAATTCAAGATTTAATTGTTATTTCAAACCCAAAACTTTTTAAATGATTTTTAAATGAGTGTATCTTCATTCTTTCCTAATGTTTGTGTGTACTCTCAAAGGGAAGTTAAATATTGTGATCTTTCAATGTTGTTTTGCTAGTATTTTGATCCAAAGAGTTCAATTTACTGATCTTGCCCTGAAAAGTATGTGTTATCCCCACTTTCCTGAGCATAATTTGGTGTGTGTGAGGAACTGGAAGGGATTATAAGAAAACCACAAGACATAGTTCTCTTCTGGCTATTATTATTATTTGGCACTAGAACTCACGCCTGAAAGGTTTATTTCCGAAAAGTTCAAAACACATCTTGTATGCCCTATATAATTATCATATTATATATTATATTTTTTTACCTCCTTAAGGAAAATTTGCTCTCCTAGTTTGGTTCCCAGATGGCATATTTCCCTAGGTCAGTTTTACGTGTGTGTGTGTGTGTTTGTATGTGTTTATAAGTACATCTTAAAACATGCGTAATAGATGTGACTGTCTTCCAGACAAGCCCTCAGCTGGCTCTCAATTAGGACAAGTCAAAAATCATATTGCCTGGCCCTCAGCAGGTTTTGTATTCACATCCAAACTTCTGTCTTTAATATTCACATAATCTTCAGCCAGTTTCTTGCAGTTTGCTTTCTTGGGCTATGTGGCAATGCTACCACCTAGTGGAACTCTCCTATTCTTTGGTGAGCATGGTTGGGGTAAGTGGCCTTCTCCCCAGAACCTCGTTCCCAAAAATATTCCTTCCTATGGCAACTACCAACCTCCAATTTGTTAAGAAACTCAAATATTAGATTCATTTTTTTGAAGGACAGCCATCAAAGATGGTAGCATTGTTCCCCACAGATTGCTATTTTAAATATACCTAATACCCAGTAAGGAAAAGAGAACATTTTCTACAATTTTATCAAATTTATAATTTTTTTACTTAATTATCAACTGAGAAGGCATTTAAATGTAAAAGTTTACTTACGTTCAGAATAACTGGGCAAAACCAAAATATTAAGAGTGATTACCTGTGAAGAGTATAGATAAAAGTGAAAGGGGAGTAAGGTGTGGTGTTTTTCTGTTTTTCAAATATTCTGCATTAAGCAAGCACCTTTGAAATTAGAGAAATAAATGTTAATTTTTATTTATACACTATCCAAGCAGAATGATCCACAGGAACCAAGTTTTTCATCTGGTAAGATGCATTACCCTGTCATTATAGATGAGGAAGCCAAGGCTCAAGAATGTAAGTGACTCATCTAAGATAATTGTGACAGTTAATTTTATGTGTCAACTTGATTAAAAATGCCACAGGATGCCCAGATAGCTGGTTAAACATTATTTCTGGGTGTGTCTGTGAGGATGTTTCTGAACGAGATTGGCATTTCAATCAGTAGACTGAGTAAAACAGATCTGCTTTCACCAATGTGAACAGGCATCACCTAATCCATTGTGGGTCCAAATAGAATAAAAAAGCAGAGGAAGCTTTAATTTGCTCTGCCTGACCACTTGAGCTAGGACATCAGTCTTCTCCTGCCCGCCACACTCCTGGTTCTCAGGCCTTCAGACCCAGACTGGAATCTACATCATTAGCTCTTAGGCTCTCAGGCCTTCAAACTATATCACTGGCTTTCCTGGGTCTTCAGCTTGCAGACAGAAAATCATGGGACTACTCAGCCTCCATATTTTCATGAACCAATATCTTATAATAGATACACTCATCCCTCTGTATCTACAAGTTCTGCATCCACTGATTCAACCAACTGCAGATCAAAAATACTTACATATTCAATATCAAGAGATATTGAAAAATCAATAATTCTACCATACAACAGACTTGGTAAAACCCTGGGGAGGTTCTCTTCTGTTTCTCAGACTCCTTCCTGGCCTATTTGCAAATAAGCAGGATACAAAATAAAAACCATATTGACCAAGTAAACATAGTAATCATTTCTATTCATTTTCAGTTTTTTTAAAAGAACATACATTCCAATCTAGCTTTTCTCAGTACTCCTTGCTATCCTTGGTTGAGTACTTGCTACATTCTGGATGCTTTGTAAACATCTCTAATTCTCACCATAAACCTACAAGATAGTTGTTGTTATCCTTTGCTTCAAAGAGGAACAAAATGAGGTTCCAAGAGCTACTTGTCCAAGTAACTCACAAAGAGACACTCCATTTCTGCCCTCATGAAGGTTAAATATTTATGTCTATAGTTACATTTAAGTGCTTTGTATGCTAAGGGCCAGCAAGTTATATCTAGGATCTTGTCTACAATTATTAGGTCACCAAACTATTTCAGCAGTTGGCCAGGTTATCCACATTACAAACATCTTCCTCGTCAGACAAAAGTATACACACATGAAATTAATTAACTGCTCCCTATTTAAAAAGTTGAGTCTATTCAAGGATGCAGCAGGAGGGCTGTATGAGAGACTACTCATAAGTAGAAAACACTAAACCTAGTTCTCTCATAGAATTTCCTGAAGGGGAGGTAGACTGCCCAGTCTCCCAGAACAGCAAAACTTCAGTTAAAAATGAGCTAATCTTTCAATCAGCTCCACTGGGCTCTCTGGCAGGAGGCAAAGGAAGCTTGGACAGTCACAGTCTGTTGTGAGACAACGGGATTTTCTTCCTCAGTGCTATTATTCTGGCACCTTTCACAAGCAATAAATCCTTTAAAACTTAACAAGTAATTGTTGAGAGATTGAAACTAAAGCTGCTATAGTTGCAAAGCTTTTAATATGTCACTGGAGTAAACCATCATGTTCACTGTTCTGAACAGAAATGTTCTTCACTACTACAGGGTGATTTTTTTTTACCACCTGCTATATATCTGGCACTGGGCTAAAAGCTAAGACATAGTAATTCCTGTCCTCAAGAAACTTAATATAAGAATTAAGAGGCAAGAGATTTACAAATAATAATCACAGTTTTTAAATGAAGCTCTCCTAGCTTACTAGCAAGAACAGATTTGTGGCATTACAAAATTGGCACATATCCAAACATAAAGTTATAGAATTTTGTATGGGTCAAGTTCCCATCAAAAAAACCAGAATTCTCCCCAGATAGTTCAAATGAAGAGATGTTAATGAAAGGACCTATGACTGACATGCAGCAAGGACTGAGCTAACAAACAAGGGATATTAAGGCACCCAGAGACCAACCACAGAAAGTGTAACTCCTAGGGCTGAAAGGGTAGGGGGAGGAAAGGGTGTTTAGCAGCCCATTGAGGGCTGGAGCTATAGAAGGCTGCCCACCAGGAGCTGACTCACAGAGGAGCACATCTATTGCAAGAGAAACAGCTAAACGGAAGCAGAGAGAGAGTCAGAAAAAAATTAACCATATCTCTCTTCTCTTCTATCCACCATATCTTCCCCCAGTCCTCCCCTAGCTGAAACCAACTGGAAGTAAGCTGGAAAGAGGGCACCAGTAATGTTGCTCACAATCAGCAGTCATCTGCCAGGGCACAAAGTGAGACAGAGAGAGAAAACAAACAGAATTAGCATAAATGCCAATTAATTTTTATAATTATTATAAATTAGTTGCAAATACAAAAGGATTTACTATACCAGATATTGGTTTAAGTGTTTTTTATATACATATATATAATCATTCAATCCTCACAATGACCTTATGAGTTAGGACAATTATTATACTCCTTTACAGAAGAACAGAATGTTCAGTAACTTGTCCAAGGTCACACAGCTAGTAAGTGGCAGAGCCCAGTCTGAAAGCTCAGTGATCTGGCTCCTAAGTTCATGGCCTTAAAAATTATGTTCTACTTCCTATCCCAAACCTAAAATCCCTCACTCTATAAAACAGCCATCCCAGAAAAGCATCTCTGAACATAAAACCAAAAAAGTAAAATCAAATCTGATTCTTCAGGAACTCGTTTATTTTTTGTTAATGAAAATGAAGAATAATAGGATAGACACTCTTCACCATACAAGGAAAGAAAATTAGCATCATTTTGATTTTGCCTTTAATTCCCAAAGATTCAGGAATTCTTGGATGGGTAGTGTGAAAATAATCAGAAAACAATCCATTGCAAAGGAGAAAAGAAGTGGCGGAAAGGGAAAAGAAAGCATGATTTAAAGCCCAGAGAGAAATATTTTCACAAAGAGCAACTACTATTGCCATTGCTTTGCCTCCGGTTCAAGCTAAAAGTGGAGAAATGTTGATGTTCTTGAACTAGTAAAATTGTAAAGCTCCTCAGAGACATTTCTTCTCGGAGGCAGGAGAAAACCGATTAGCCATTTAACCTGAGGTAGGTATAGAGTATGAGCTTAAAAGGAACCAGACATAAAGAAGGACTTATTCAAACAGGTCTGCAATAGTCACCAGATTGTTGTTGCAACTCATCACATCCTTCCTGAAAAATATGGAAGAAACACTAAGCTTTCCCTGGCCCATAATAAATCACTCAGGAGCTACCACTCCCAGGCTAAATCTTCTGGACCGCTCCCTACCTCTCCCCTTTTTTTCTTCATATTTTTCCTCTCTCAAATTTCCAGTCTCAGTTAAAAGGAATGAGAATAAGAGTAAAAGTAGACCATTTCCCCCCTGTTGTTGCCCTAAATATCTAAAAAAAAATGTTGGATTATAAATCCCCTGCTCCTGCTTTTGCTCAAAATTTTGTCAGCATAAATTGTAGCTGACAAGTATCACCACGAAGGTATATAATTTTGATGTTGTACTGAAAAAGAGCAGAGAGTCACTTAAAAAGATGCAAGTTTTAAGATTCATCAAAAGACTCTCCTGTGCAGAGTTTCTCTCCCACTATCCTGTATCAAGGCCTCAAATTTCTTGAAGATTTATTTCTTTGAACTATCAGTAAAAAATATTAGCTTAAATGCACATTTAGAAGCATTACCCGTTTGATCTTAATAGCAAACCTATGATTTATCAAACTTGCTTATTTCTGTTCCTGACATTATCGTTGTTTATAGACGTTAGTAAGGGGGGAACTTTGCAGGCTTGAATATTAAATGAGGCAAAGAGCACACTCTCTGTGGATGGTGGGGGTGGGGTGGAAGAGTAACTTTATAGTGAAGAAATTTGACAAACACTACTTCAGCCAGGTGATCAAGGTCAACATCAAGAGTGATAAGGCATGTTTATAGTATTAATATGTACTCTTGATATGATATGGTGACAATGGTACTTTACTTCTTACTTCCCAGAAACTCATAACCTAAATCTAACCATTAGAAAATCAGACAAATCCCAATTAAGGGACATTCTAAAAAATACCTGACCAGTACTCTTCAAAATGTCAAGGTTATCGAAAATAAAAGAAAGTCTAAGAAACCATAACAGCCAACAGAAGCCTAAGAAGACATGGCAACTCAATGTAATATGGCATCCTAGATGGCATCCTGGATCAGAAAAGGGACATTAGATGAAAAATAAGAAAATCTGAACAAAGTATGAACTTCAGTTGATAATAATATATCAATATCGATGTAGCAATAATGTGGCAACAAATGTACCACACTAATATAAGATGTTAATGAGGGAGAAGGGGTGTGGAGTATCTGAGAACACTGTACTATCCTCACAATTTTTCTGTGAGTCTGAAACTGTTCTAAAAAATAAAGTTTCATTTAAAATGAAATGAGGTTATGTATAAAAAGCATTTATAAACAATGGCATATTATTATGGTAATGATGCTGGTAAAGATTAGAGAGCTGTGTTTTGGCGAAAACCTGACAGTAGCTGAAAATGGATTAGTGTTATATTCACAGAGTTTCTATTGATTCAAATATCTACTGCAATATTCAATATTTCATTTTTTTGAAAATCATAATTTTTGGATATATAACTTCTGAAAGTGGTTCCACCTACCATCAGATGAATTTCAGAAATTATTCAATAATTTCCTAATCATCCTGCAAGTCATTTTTAGTGCCCATCATGTGCTGGATACTATCCTAAGTAATGGAACACAAAGGTGAGCCTCCAGGAGTGAACCTGTCAAAAGAAGAACAAATAAAACTCGGTTATTAAAGGTCTATAATATAGCAAAATCTTTACCTACATTGCCTCACTCATCCTCACAGGCACGCAGGAAGGCTTTGTTTTTCTGGAAGATGAGGCTTTCACACCCACAGCATCCACTTCTTACCACTATCCTGGCACTTATCACGCAGGAAAGTAGCGGCCTACACGCTCTCCACATCTCCAGCTAGACTGCCAAGTCCTTGAGGACGAGGACTTGTTAATTGTTATTTTTTCATCATAATAAAGCATAACACCTGCCCATAATTAGCAGAATGAATGAATGAAATTTAGTCAAGACCCTCATTTTAAAGTGATAGACAATTAAAGCAAAAAAGAAAATTTATCAGCTCATGTACCCAAAGAGACTAAGGGAAACTTCTGGTGCTCTGAATTCATGTGAAGTTTCTCATGCTTCAGTAACAGTTCTGGTCTCTTCACTTCCCCCTCACTCATCCTGTGAGAGGACCTAGACAACTGGTACATTGAGGAGAGGGTACCACTTAGCTCAGCTTCCTCTGCTCCCTGGCTTAGGAACCTGCCTCCCTACCTCACTACAAGAGTGTTTTGCTCTGTTTTCTACCATGTGCTAAGCTGACCATGCAGGGTTTGGCTCTATAAATCCAATTCAAGGGAGAGTACTAGGAAGTCCACTGTGCATAAACATCTAAACTGTATTCACTAATCCAGCTTTTATTAGTAGCTGATATTTTTACCTACATCTGTCTAACTCTTGTTGCTATCACTCAGTTGGTTCCAAACTTGATGGGGAAAAAGTAGGAAGCTGTCCATTAGCCCCAAAAGTCCTGCTAGAAAATACAAGAGTACTGGGGCTCAGGCGTGAATTAATTCAGGAGCTCAGATCCTGCCAGAGAATTCAGACTGTCCATCTCTCCATTCCACTCTTCTCTGCATGGCTTCTTCAGTCTTAAGCTGGCTTTCTTCAAAGTGACAAGACATTCTAGTTCCTGCCTTATGACTCCTCAAGCTTAGCAACTAGGGAAGGTGAGATGTTTCTTCCCAATTCTTTCAACAAAAATCCTGAGATTTACTATGCTTCTTATGATTTAGGTCCTGTATCTATCCTGGACCACTCACCATAACAAGGCGTCAAGAGCCCTAACTAGCCAGGCTTGGGCCAAATGGAGCCCAGGGTGGGGCCAGCACCTGTTGAATTACTTGTACTTAGAGTAGGGGGTGAGGTGGCAATTGGGAGAGGCTGAAGCAAAAGGAGCGGAAGTCTACCACAGCTAGTACTAACTCCTTTTCACAGAAAAGAAACCCTAGAGCATACAGCTTGTATGGGGCAGATATGGAATTTAAAATCACATGTGTTTGAACCCCATTCTGTGTGCCTTCCTCTATATCAGAATGTCTCCCTAAGCTTCTACTGACAAATCTTATCACCCTGAAGCAAATGGTCGAGCTGAACAAGTGGTACAAACTCTTAAGAAGGTGTTAGATCTTAATGATAGAAGAGAACTACTGCATTTCTTAACATTTAGAATGCCACTCTGTGCCCTACACTCCTAGCAAGAGGTTCAAATCACTCCTGCTAAATAACTAATGGGGCAACACTTCAATGATTTTCTGAAGCAACTCATTTCCAATTTAACAGAATTCATCTAAGACAAGTTGGATCATATTTGGAAGGTTACTTAAATATGCCCTAGTTCTTCATTGCTAAGTTTTCACCATGTTTTCAACTTGATAGTTTATACTTCCTAGAAACTTATGGGATGGGTCCAATGTAAGAAGTGCACCTTTTTTTTGAAACTCAACTTAATCCCCATTCCACTTGGTAGCAGAAAACTTAAACTCATTCATTCAGGTTAAACTCAGTTAACTTGGTACTTTCTCAGTCAAATCAATATGGGGTAAATTCAATAAAGGGTTCTCTCCCCCCACCCCCATCTAAGTTCCAATTATCCTAGTGTCATGGCACCAGGGAAAGGCACCTGTTCCTCCATCCATGCTGGCTTCTGATGAGATGTGCCTCATTCCACATGACTCATGGAAGGCATCTCATCTCCATGCTGGCATCTGCTGAGAAGGACACCTACCTATCTGGGCTGCTTTCCAGTATTGGTCCCTTGTTACAAATGCAAGGCCTCTCCACAAGTGCCTGTTTTCAGTGCCACATCAGCAATACTCTTGGATGAACAGGAAAAGATTTGGCACCTTTTCACAACACATGTGAGCACATGGAAAGTCTCTTTAAGGTCTTTCTCCTAGCAACCCTGTGCTGTCTCCAGCTACTCTGCTGCTCTAAGGATAAGGACTATAGCACCCTCAGGCAACCAGGCAGGGACTGGGGCACATGCCCTCTCTCCTCTGAGATCACCCAGCCCTGGAGCTAAGACTGTCATTGCAATAGGTATAGGGAAAAACACTGTGACCTCACCAGTGTCTGATACCATTCCTTTTCAACTCTGTCTCCACATCACAAGGAATCTTTATCAGATCTAGGAAAGGAAAAACAGTCTCTTACATTACTATGAATTCTTGCCAATTTTCCAATCCTTTCTTTCAACTACCATCTCTACCAAGAGTTTTAAACTCAGAAGCTGGAATCAACTCTTTTGTTTTCAATTGTTCTGCCAGGTCCTCCTTCACTGAAATAGTGAGCTCAGACTACCTAAAACAGGAGTAAGTCCACTTGAAAAAAAATGAATTACTAAAAATGAAAACACAATGGTTAATGTCAAAATTTTCCCAATGGTGTAACTTGAACCAAGTGGAATGCCTATATTTGAGGTACTGCGACTAGGGCCACAAAAGTGTAGAAAACATGGGAAAAGCATAGCTTCTCAAGTTAAATAGATCATGAACACTTGCTTTCAGAGTGACTTGGCCTACTTCTCTATGACTATTTTACAATAATCTGTGGGCTATCTTAAGAAATGACCCGAGCAATCAACTATAAAGACCTGCATAGGCTTATCTTGCTAAGCCCTTAAGTAAATGTTAACTGAAATGGTTAATTTTATGTATAAGCTTAACTGGGCTAAGAGATACCCAGATATCTAGTAAAATGTCATTCCTGACTGTGTCTGTGAAGGTGTTTCCATAAAGAGATTTGAATTGGTAAAGTGAATAAAGTAGATGGCCTCCCCAATATGGATGGACCTCATCCAACCCACTGAGGGCCAGAATAGAAAGGAAAAAAAAGGTGGAAAAAGGAGATTTCACTCTATCTGTTTGAGCTGGGAGATCATCTTCTTCTGCCCTGAGACATTAGCATTCCTAGTTCTCAGGCCTTCAGACCCATACTGAATTATACCACCAGCTTTCCCAGTTCTCTTGCTTGTACATAACAGATTATGGAACTTCTCAGCATCCATAATTGTGTGGGACAATTTCCATAAAGAGATTTGAATTGGTAAAGTGAATAAAGTAGATGGCCTCCCCAATATGGATGGACCTCATCCAACCCACTGAGGGCCAGAATAGAAAGGAAAAAAAAGGTGGAAAAAGGAGATTTCACTCTATCTGTTTGAGCTGGGAGATCATCTTCTTCTGCCCTGAGACATTAGCATTCCTAGTTCTCAGGCCTTCAGACCCATACTGAATTATACCACCAGCTTTCCCAGTTCTCTTGCTTGTACATAACAGATTATGGAACTTCTCAGCATCCATAATTGTGTGGGACAATTCCTATAACAGAAAGAGAGAGAGAGAATGTGTGTGCTAGAGAGATCTCATTAGCTCTGTTTCTCTGGAAGATCATGACTGATACATTAACTAAGACAAGAGGAGAGGAAAACTACAGGCCAAACAGAGACTTTATAACAAACATCAGCATAATGTCCAGGAAAAGAACCAGTCCAGGATACAAACAGATCCACCACTCCAGACCACAGCATAGTAATACAGGGTACTATGAAGACAGAGTTTCCCAACTTCACTTATTACCATGAAATCACTCTCAGAATCCATCCTGAAGGAAAGCATGGGAAGGGGACAGAAATCTGAAGGGCCATAAGTCTAATCTAAAAGACACTGACCCATCAAAAAGCAACTAAACAAAAAGGGAGTGAAAGATTATAAATTGCAAAATAAAAATGTATTTTCTTCTTAACTACCCAGTAACATTGTTAGCAATAGGGAAACCAAAAAGATTGGGGTTTTTTGGGGCATATTTGAGTGTAGTAAGAGTGACTGCTGCTTTGCTATCTAATCCTCCAAAATCAATTTTTCAAACAGCAATTCATTACAAATTGGAATGAGGCAAAACAGTAAAGACAGTAGCAACTGTTCCCAGGTAGCAAATCACAATAGTCCAAACCCAACTGTAGCAAAAGTTTGTACTCTGTTTATTACTTGGACTGAGTTATGAATACTTAAGTAACTAAAAGAAAGAGGAAAACACATGGAAGGAAGGAAAGAAGGGAGAGAAGAAGGGAGGAAGGGGGGGACATAAAGAAGAAAGGATAAGGGAAGGAAAGGGTAGGTTAGAGGTGAGGAAGGTGGCTGAGAGAAAAGAAGAAAGGGAACAAAAAAGGGAGAGAAGGAAATAAAGAAAATGGAAAAAGAGAGCAACAAAAATGACTTACGTTGTATATAATAATTCAATGGTAAAATCATTTCCTCAACAAGCTATGAGTGAAAGAAAGCTGATGATAGTGCCAGATTGTTCAAATAAGTAATGCTTCAAAAATCTCTCTTCAGTATATCCTCAGCGAATTAAGAGCAACAAGAAAAAGTTTGAAGGTTTCCTATTTTTACCTATCCTCATCGTTTGAGTCTCTCCTCCAGAAAAACTGGAAAACCCCCTACACAGCAAAAGTAAAATTATCTATTTATGAATGCTGATTTTTATAATGAATGAATAAGTGAATGAAATAAAAAAAGAAAGAGATAGAGACAGACAGAGGGAGGAAGGGCAAAAGGGAGGGAGGGAAAGAAAGAGAGGAAAGGAGGTAGGGAGAAAGGCACAAGGGGGAGGAAGGGACAGAGGAGGAGGAGAGAGA